AAAGAAAGAACCTGCATTAAAAATAGTTTGACTCTTTTATGTGGTGGATTAGCCTGGGTTTAACTGCTTTGAAATCTGGTAATCAGATAAAGTTCTGGACAAAGCAACTGCAGCTATTTGCTCTAGTGCTTACGGTATGGACCAGCTTGAGGTCAGTGATTAAGATGAAGGTACATTTCAAAGAACTTCCCTTGGGAATGTGCGCCGAGCACTGCTGATGGATCAAAAGCACTGGTCTGTGGCAATGAAAAGGAGCAGAGAAGCACTTACTGTCATGGAAGTACAAACTGTGTTTGCAATAGCACTTGGCATCTATTGTAAAATGCATGGCTATCAGGACAGCGGAAAGCATGACAGCCTGCGTTACGTACTTAATCTTCTGAGCAGAATTATTTAACCAGCTGTGGCACTTCTCTTTCATGTCTGGACAAGGAGGCCTAGGCACTGGTGTAGGTTTTCTGAAACTGGTCCATTTTCCCTGACAGTGGAACTGATTCAGTTTTGCTGAACTGAATGTCTTCATCAATGGGGCTGACCCTGGCTGCCCTGTTGTTGGGTGCAAGTAGGGTTGTGATGCACCCAGGCAGAAAGGAGAGTCCTCTAAAATAGCAAAAATAAGGTTTCTGTTGCCACTCTGGAGCAAGAGGAGAGATTTTCCTACTTGCTTCCTATGTTTTCCCAAAATTGCAGGCATTCCTCTTGGTTGGACTCTGTATCCTGGTAGAGGTGAACATAAATAATACCATCGCACTTCCTTTGTGATAAAATCATACACTTTTCAGCCAAGGATCCATTGAAACTTGCAGACAGGCACACACAAGCAAAAGGCAATAAAGCTGTTTAATTTGATTTTTTTCCTTCTCTACATCAATTTAAGAGAGAGGAGAATTGGCTTACCATTTCTTGCAGTTCAAAACAAGCATATGAGCTTGCTGGCATATAAATATACCTAGAGAATGCGGGAAGTCTTGTTCAGTGGGATTGATGCAGACCTGTAAAATGAAAGTCTTGGGTAGCTTTTGTTATCGCAGCTGCTAGTTGTAGAAGGAAAGAGTCTGAGTGTCCTCTCCTTGCTGCCTGTACGAAATTGTTAGTGAACATAACATGCCAGCAAATTTCTTACCCAGAAGTCCTGGAACTGTTACGAAGTATGTGAAGAAGTAACTGCTGTGTTTTGGAAATTACATAGCAGAGTTAGGAACTGTACAATATATAGAATTGTATTCCGTCTTCCCACCTATTTCAAGACCAGTTCCTGCATGAAAGGTTTGTTGGGATTTTTGCCCTCTAAATACTGAAGTGAGCACACTATCATGTTGGTGATGAAATTTTTTGTAGGCACTCTGAATTTCTTGCCTTCGCGGCATGTTCTGTTCTGGTGGTATACCTTGACCTTGTTCTGCCATGACAACTGTGTATAGTGACTGCAGACCTGAGTGACTCGGAAACAGTCTGGCAGTCAGTCTCTGGTTATAATGTTTTAAGAAGATAGGTACGAATACAGGAGGATTTGCTGTGCTTAATGACAAATGTAATAAAGAAGTGTAAAATGTAATAAATAAGTGTAATAAAACAGAGAATGCATTAAATCTAATGTAACTGGAGTGATTTTAGGAGAGAGTTGCTCTAATATGTCTTACTCATGCAGTAGGCCCAGGATGACAGCCAAAACTAAGAACTGCCTAGAAAGCCTTATATCAGTGAGGAGGAAGATGATTATAAGCAGCAGTTTGTGTCTTGGGACTGTTAAGACTTGTGTTTATCTTCCAGTTCTGTGAATACCAGAAAGGACAATTCCTCCTGTATGGGATACTCGTGTTTCCTTTGTTCCTGTATGTGTTTTGATGGCTCTTTCCTTATGACTAATGCTGTGTACTAGGATTTACCTCCTTGAATGCACAGACTGCCTTCTTGGAAACCACTTGGAAAATTACACCAAGACTGGAGTGAATTCATGTGTGAAATTTCAAAAGTCTCTTTTTGTGTCTGAAGCACTGATGAGAGCACTACAAATTAACAATGAGAACATTAGTGTAGTTATGATGTCTCAGATTCCATTACAGCTGAAATGTTTTCAGCTAACAAACACAGCTGCAGCTGTTGTTGTCATGTTGATCTCCAGAACCAAATGGAGAAAGAGGAGACAGGAGCACCATGAAGAACAAGATGATGTTATGGGAGTTAGGCTGATATTTGCACTCTCCTTAGGTGGCAAAAAAGGAGGAAGGAGATATGGGGTGCAAAAAAAGACAAATGTGGTCAGGTGGCTGCTGGTGCAGCACACTGCTCGAGTTGTTTGCAAGCATTTTTGACAGGTTCTCTCTAATCTTTTCATTAGAGACTGGAAACTCATTAATCTGGAAAGTATCCAGCAGCTTTACTTTAGCTCATACTCAGGTATGAAAGTGCCAGAGGTACTTGGCAAAGGGGCACAGAGAAGAAATTATTTAGGTTTTAGGTGCTGAAATATTAATGGGCCCTAAGGAAAGTCTTCTGTTGTGAACATGCTATTCAGTAAGCATTCAGTTTGTACCTTCCTTGGAAATGTTCAGTTTTAGTCATCAGTAGGAAAAATGCTGGCTACTAGCCTGATTCAAGAAGGTAATGTTTGTTAAATGCTCTCTGAAGTTATACTGCCAGATACTGTCAGATTATGGTTAAGCAGCTATAGACCTTGAAATATTGCTCAGTACTGGTTTAAAGTGCAAGAAAAAAATCCTATCCAAATTCCTTTAAAAGACCAACCTTAATACAAACCATAAAAGAACCAAAAAATTCACCTTCTATTTTTGCTTGTCTTTGTCCTCTCTGACATTGGGATAACTGACATATTTGCATTCCTTTGCTGCTGGAGATCAGAGTATTCCTAAAAGAGCAATGATTTTATACCTGTCTGTGTTTGCTGAGATATTTTAGTGTATGCTGCAGAATATGCCTGCTCCTAGTCTTGCTTCTTGTCTGTTTGAAGATAAAATGCAAGAACCAGGTAACAGAACAGCAGTGGCTGGGGTTGCTAGTGTGTCTGAGCTGCTTCACTATTATTTAAATAGTACAATTTTGTGCCCTCTAACCCCTTCCTTATTTTTTTTTCCAGTCCTGTTTTATGAGTGCCCTGATGCTGATATGGCCTATTGAGCTGCCTTTGCATTAGCATTTTAGCTCAAGTTAGGGATGTGCTTTTGAAGCAAATCTCTGGATTGGTCCCTGTTTTCTCCGGACTGTATTATGAAGAGTTCTGCAAGCACATAAAATAGGTTCCCATCAGATTAATTTAAAGTGAGAAATGCCATCTAGAAGGGCACATTAATCAATGTCCAAATATTAATGGGAAATTAGTTCCTGGACCAGGACCAGACTTACACTGAAGTAGATGTGATGGAAAACGTTGACATGCATATTACATGGTGGTCAGGTTTTCAGCAGTAGCTGTGCTGAGCTGTTTGCTCATAAAATGCAAGAAATTATAATCTGGGTTATGAATACTGGAAATTCCAGATTTTTTTTTACAACGTTGGTGAGTTAAACTCCTAGAGTTGTATTCAGTGGATACTACAGCCAGCACAAGGTGTGTTGTGGAAGCATGTATCTGGTAGTGGGAAAATGAAGGGAAACTGTTATCAGTTTTCCCTATAACTTGCCTTACTTTGGGGGAAACTGAAAGTAATTTCTGTTATGTATCGTACAATCAGTTGTCTTGCCTTTTCTTCCCTGCATTGCATGGAAATCTGTTAATCGCTTGCTGATCAATGGCAGCACATTTTTTCTTTTTTAAGAAAAAGCTTTGTATTGACCTCTTTCGACTCGCCACAGGCAGTGACTATCATAGTGAACAAAAGAGACTTTGTTTCCTTATTTAATGTGACCTCAGTGTGAAATATTCAATCCTTTTGTAACCCAGAGAAACCTACAGAGGTTCAGGATCTGGAACAGAGATAGAGCCCCAGCAAATGATTGTGCTTATTCAGGTATAATAGTGAACCTTATTTAGGTGTAGTAGTAAACAGTGTAATTTACAGGAAAATGTTACTAATTTTGAGACTTACAAGGAATTTTGAGTTACTTACAAGGAATTATATTCTAGATCAATTTTTAAGTAGAAGAGAACATATCTTCTGTAGCGTGTTTTTTTTCTGCTTCAGTAGACACCATCATTCTGTGATAAAGCTTCATGGAATCTCCTGTGAATTAAGGTTTCCTGGAATGCAATTTGCCAGGATGTATGTTATATTTTGTAACTGGTTTGCTAATTTGGATGGTATGGTTAATTTGGTAACTTGTAATGGTTAACCAAGATGCATAAACTGTCACAAAAGAAGAAAATTTGCTGTGATTCTGCTGTTTTACTGGGGAAGGAAAAGGGTGGTGGTTGTCCATTATTCAACCGTCAGTAGCGTGAGCCATCTTAATTTGACAGTTAAGAGCAAATGGTAGGAAAAAGGAAACAGTAATAAATGGTTAAGATGATGCAAGTAACTGATGTTCCTTAAGAACTTTGCTTGAGTCAGGAGCTTTCAACTTGTTGATTTATATTTTTGGAGATGTCCTCTAGTGAAAGTGCACTTTCCTTTGCATAGGTCTGCTGACAGCAAGTTTACAGTGACCAACATTTCCAGAGTGAACCAGAGTTGTGTCAAGCTTGTTATTCTCTCCCTCAGAACATCACTATGGAAAATATCGGGGCAGAGCACAGTGGTGCTGGTTGTATTTCCCTGAATACTCTCCCAGATTTGGAAAAGATGTGGTTCACGAGCTAACCAAAGCAAAGGGAGTGTGGTTTCTTTTGTATTTAATCTATTTGCTTAGAGGAAGCAGGACTGCTTGCTCCATGCCCAGACTGTGCAGGGGATTTAAGCGTCCACTTTAGCTCATGGAGGAAAGAAGGAGGCCATTAACCCAGGAAGCTGGGAAATAGTAACAAAAAAACCAAACAAACAAAAAACAAAACAAAAACCAACCAAACAAAAAAACAACAACAAAAAAAAAAAAACAAAAAGAAAAAAAAAACAACAAAAAAAAGGAAGAGGACAATTAAAAACAAGGGGCTTCCTCCTAAATCTGTTGTCCCCACGCAGAACCGCTTTGCTGCCCTGCAGGGGGCTAATGAGGAAACACATTCGCACCATGAACAACAAGCTGATGCACTGGTAAAGAAGATCTCTACTGGTGCTGCCAGGAAAAAGCAGCGGATCCTAGTAGAAGGGGACTCTACTTTGAAAGGCACAGAAGCACTCATCTGTCGGCCTACCTAGTCTCAAGGGAGGTGTGTTGCCTACCAGGGGCATGGATCAGGGATGTTGCAGAGAGGCTGCCTGCTCTAGTAAGTCCCAATGATTATTACCCACTTCTAGTGATCCATGTGGGTGCTAGAGATATAGATAGTAGTAGCCTGGGGAACATAAAGGACTACAGAGCCCTGGGAGAGGTGGTTAGGGGCTGTGAAGCTCAGACTGTCTTTTCATCAATTCTCCAGGATACAGGGGAGCACCTTAAAAAGGCTAGGAGGATTGGCCAGGTTAATAAATGGTTAGAACAGTGGTGCCATAGTCAGGGCTTTGGGTACCTAGAACATGGGACTCAATTTAGTAGGCAAGGTCTACTAGGGGCTGGTGGAGCTGGCCTGATGAAGGGGAAGGACGGTTTTGGTAGGAGGCTTGCCAGACTGGTCAAGGAGGCTTTAAACCAGATGTGTTGAGGATGGGGGGCATCATTCCATCCCAACACACCCAGTCAGTTGCCAGAGCCTATAATAAATGCTTGGAGCAATGTAGAGATATCCCAGCCGCTCCAGCCAACGAGCCGGCTTCATTTGGAGCTCGGCTCAGATGCCTCTATACAAACACCCGTAGCATGGGGAACAAACAAGAGGAATTAGAGATGTGTGCACGTCTACGGGGGTATGATATAATAGGCATCACAGAAACATGGTGGGATGGCTCCTATGACTGGAGTGTTGGAATGGAAGGTTACAGGCTCTTTAGGAAGGACAGGCCTGGCAGGTGGGGAGGGGGAGTTGCCCTTTATGTTAGGGATAGGCTGGAGAGTATGGAACTCTGTCTGGGGACAGGTGAGCAGTTAACAGAGAGTTTGTGGGTCAGGGTTAACGGGAATATAGCTATGGGAGACATTACTGTGGGGATCTGTTACAGACCGCCTGATCAAGAGGACTCCATGGATGAAGTGCTCTATAGACAGATAGGAAAAGCCTCACACTCACAGGTCCTTGTTCTCATGGGTGACTTCAACCATCGTGACATCTGCTGGAGGGATGGTACGGCCCGGCACAAGCAATGCAGGAGGTTCCTTGATTGTGTGGAAGACAACTTCCTTCTGCAAGTAATAGAGGAGCCGACAAGGAGAGGTGCCATGCTTGACCTTGTGCTCACCAACAGGGAAGGGCTGGTTGGAAAGGTGATGCTCCAGGGCAGTCTTGGTTGCAGCGATCATGAGATGGTCGAATTTGAGGTCCTCAGGACAGTGAGAAGAGCGTGCAGCAAGCTCACTGCCCTGGTCTTCAAGAGAGCAGACTTTGGCCTCTTCAGGAACCTGCTTTGGAAGGTTCCATGGGATATAGCCCTAGAGGGGAGAGGGGCCCAAGACTGTTGGTTGATATTCAAGGATCACCTGCTGCAAGCTCAGGAGTGTTGCATCCCAAATAGAAGGAAGTGCAGCAGGAGGGCCAGGAGACCTCCTTGGATGGATAAGGAGCTGCTGAGGAAAATTCAAATGAAAAAAGAGGCTTATAATAAGTGGAAGCAAGGACAGGCAGCCTGGGAAGAATACAGGGATGTTGTCTGGGAAGCTAGGGACCAGGTTAGGAAAGCTAAGGCCCAGTTACGTTAGAAAGTTAAGGCCCAAACTTGCCTAGGGATATTAAGGATAACAGGAAGGGATTCTATAGGTACATTGCAAATAAAAGACAGACTAGGGACAACGTGGGCTGTCTCTGGAAGCTATCAGGAGAGCTGGCTACCCTGGATGTGGAGAAGGCTGAGGTTCTGAATGACTTCTTTGCCTCGGTCTTCACTGGCAAATACTCTGACCACACCACCCAAGTCTTGGAAGGCAAATGCAGGGACTGTGAGAATGAAGACCTTGGGCCCACTGTAGGAGAGGATCTGGTTTGAGACTATGTTAAGAACCTGAGCACACACAAGTCCACGGGACCTGATGAGATCCATCCGTGGGTCCTGAAGGAGCTGGCAAATGAAGTTGCTAAGCCACTGTCCATCACATTTGGAAAAATCATGGCTGTTCTTTGAAGTTCCCGACAACTGTAAAAACAGAAATATAACCCCCATTTTCAAGAAGGGAAAATGGATGATCCAGGGAATTACAGACCAGTCAGTCTCACCTCTGTGCCTGGCAAAATCTTGGAGCAGGTTCTCCTGGAAGGCATGCTAAGGCACATGAAAATCAACAAGGTGCTTGGTGACAGCCAGCATGGCTTCACTAAGGGGAAATCCTGCCTGACCAATTTTGTGGCCTTCTATGATGGGGCTACAGAACTGATGGACAGGAGTAGAGCAGTTGATGTCATCTACCTGGACTTGTGTAAAGCATTCGACACTGTCCCACACGACATCCTTGTCTCTAAATTGGAGGGACATCAGTTTGATGGATGGACCACTGGGTGGATAAAGTGGCTGGATGGCCGCACACAAAGAGTTATGGTCAATGTCTCAATGTCCATCTGGAAACCAGTAACGAGTGGTGTCCCTCAGGGATCGGTGTTGGGACTGGGCTTGTTCAACATCTTCATCGCTGACATGGACAGTGGGATTGAGTGTGCCCTCAGCAAGTTTGCCGATGACACCAAGCTGTGTGGTTCGGTTTGATACGCTGGAGGGAAGGAATGCCATCCAGAGGGACCTTGACACGCTTGTGAGGTGGGCTGATGCCAACCTCATGAAGTTTAACCATGACAAGTGCAAGGTCCTACACCTGGGTCGGAGCAATCCCAGGCACAGCTGCAGGTTGGGCAGAGAAGAGATTCAGAGCAGCCCTGTGGAGAAGGACTTGGGGGTGTTGGTTGATGAGAAAATGAACGAGCTGGCTACAGTGTGCGCTGGCAGCCCAGAAAGTCAACCGTATCCTGGGCTGCATCAAAAGCAGCGTGACCAGCAGGTGGAAGGAGGTGATCCTGCCCCTCTACTCTGCTCTTGTCAGACCTCACCTGGAGTATTGTGTGCAGTTCTGGTGTCCTCAACATAAAAAGGACATGGAACTGTTGGAACAAGTCCAGAGAAGGGCCACGAGGATGATCAGGGGACTGGAGCACCTCCTGTATGAAGACAGGCTGAGGAAGTTGGGGCTGTTCAGGCTGGAGAAGAGAAGGCTGCGTGGAGACCTCATAGCAGCCTTCCAGTATCTGAAGGGGGCTTATAGGGATGCTGGGGAGGGACTATTCATTGGAGACTGTAATGATAGGACAAGGGGTAACGGGTTAAAAGTTAAACGGGGGAAGTTTAGATTGGATATAAGGAGGAAATTCTTTCCTGTTTGGGTGGTGAGGCACTGGAATGGGTTGCCCAGGGAGGTTGTGAATGCTCCATCCCTGCAGGTTGGACAGAGACTTGGACAACACAGTCTATGGTGAGGCATCCCTGCCTCATGGCAGGGGGGTTGGAACTTGATGACCCTAAGGTCCTTTGCAACACTAACTATTCTATGATTCTTGCACATTTTTTTTTCCGAGTATACAGCCCAGCCCCAAACAAAACCGCCAACCAAGGAATCAACAGAAAAAGCCAATTCAACAAGATAAAAAACCCTCAACAAAACAAAACAGAAAAACAAACCAAAATGAGAACAAAAAAAAATCCCAAGTCACACCAAAACAATAAATATGTGTGCGGAAGTTGTTGCAGTGTTTGGTGGCATCAAGCTTAACTATCCTGCACTGTACAAAGAGCCCCATTTCTCTTTGTTCTGACTACTCGGAGCCTGGTAGCCTCATCTGATGTCATCTGAACATTTGTCGCACACTACATTTCAATCTTATCTTTGCCAGGATTAAAATTATTTAGTTATTTCTTGTGTGGAAACGAATTTTGATAATCCTTGTTAAATTAACTTTATGTATTACTAATTCCACTATTCCCTTCAGAATGATGTGCATTCCTTGTACTCCCACTACAAAATGAAAATATAGGCTTGTTTTATACTGACATGATAACCCTAATCCTATGAAGATGCTGGCTTGCTTCTTTTCACCTTACTGCATTTAATAGAACTATACCATGAAATAATTTTACTGCCAATGTAATTAATGAATGCTATTCTCATCACTGGCCTGCGTCAGAACTGTGAGCTGCTTTTACTTGCTAGTATAAAAGGAAACTAAGCCAAAGAAACTGAAAAGTCATTTTACTCAACAAAAAATCAGGGAAGGGTTTGGGTTGGAAAGGATCTTAAAATCATCTAGCTCCAGCCTCCCTGCCGTGGGCAGGTTGCTCAAGGCCCTGTCCAACCTGGCCTTGAATACTGCCAGGGATTGGGCATCCACAACTTCCTTGGGCATCCTTTTTCAGTGCCTCTCCACATCTTAGTGATTCATGGAGGGGAGCAATGGGAACCCAAGCTGTCTAAAGCTAAAGGGAAGGAGCAAGTCCCTTTTGATTGTAAAGTAGGCCAATCTAGTGTCTCATGAGCATAAAACTACAGCCATGGTTATCCTATGCATGTCCCCTCCTCCTAAGTTAGGGACTGTCAGTGGTCTGTAGGCAGCAAGTTTAAACTGTATCAAAGGAGGCAGTTAAAAGAGTGAAATGATGTTACGTAGACTGAAAATGATGCTTATTTTGCTGCTGCTTTCAGTGTGGAAATTATTCTGACCACAGTTATGCTGCTTTCCTTCAAAGTACGTGAAAGGAACATTATTTTAAATGTAGGGCAGGGGATAACTGAGGCTTAGAAAACTTGCCCAACCAAGCGATCATAAGCCTGTGGTGTTTTTGTAAAAGGCTCTAAAAACTGATGGCTTTAAACAAGGCTGATTTGACTTGTCAGGGACAGGTGACGCAGTCAAGTGGATGTCTGCTAGTTAGGATGGATTTGCCATGACTGTATTGCATCTTTTTAAAGGAACAATAATAATACATGCAATGAAGCAAGATACAAGCTTAGTTCAATGGTAGAATTATAATGACAGGCTCTCTCAAAACAATTAATAGATTGAATGCAAGAAAAAATATCCTAAGCTACCTCATAGGTTTTTTCATTAAAACCTTTTTGTGTGTGGAACAGAAGCAAAAAAGGCCAAGATTTCAAGAATTTAGGTTTCAGAAGATTACTTTCTTGAGAGCTTAATGTAGCAGCGTGTCCTGGATTTAGCAGTAGCAGTCATTTTTTCTCCTTCTTAGTAGCTGGTGTAGTGCTGTGTTTTGACTTTCGGCCTGGGAACAGAGCTGATAGCACTGAGCGGATAATGTTTTTAGTTACTGCTCAAATGTTTAGACTGGCCATAGGACTTTGTGAGCCTCATGCTCTGCCAGGGAAGAGGGGAAGCCGGGAGGAAGCAGAGACAGGACACCTGACCCAAACTAGCCAAAGAGGTATTCCACACCACAGCACGTCATGTCCCGGAGGTAATAGGGAGTTACCCAGAAGGGCATTCTCTGCTCGTTCAGGCTCCTTTCCGCATGTGGTATCATATTCTCTTCCCTTGTTATTTCCCTTATCATTATTGTTATTGGTGGTGGCAGCAGTGGTTTGTGTTATACCTTAGTTACTAAACTGTTCTTATCTCAACCCGTGGGAGTTGCATTCATTTGATTCTCCTCCCCATCCCTCCAGGAGCAGGGGAAGGGGGGAGTGTGGACTGCGTGGCCAACTTGTCAACATGTTTTAAACCACGACACAGTGTTTCCCTTTAGAGCTGGGAAGCTTTTTGTCAAGCTGAAATTTGTTTGAATAGCCAAATCTGCTGCAACTTAAATATTCAGTAGCTCTTGAATTTTGGAGGTATGTAGTGACTGTTGCTATTAGTAGTCTATTATCAAAAATTCATCATACGGGATAGGTTTAGGATAGATGGAACTTTAGGATGCAATAATTATCCTTATTGTTTTTTTTTTTTCTTCTTTATTTTAATATTTTTAGAGACAAAATAATTTCTTTGGCAGAGCGATTCGGCGTGCCCAGTCATGTTATATGGTGTCTATCTTCTTCCTGTTGAAGGGCCCATACAAATAACAAACTATATAGAGATCTTCAGTACAAAGATTGTTCACTTGACAGGAAAAATATAAAGCAGCTTTCTCATGGGCAAGGGGCCTAACTGAAGGCACTTCTGAACTGCCTTTGCAAAAAGGATATAAACTTAAATCACCTTAGAGATTTATTTTGTTTATATGTATAGATGACTTTTAGTCTTACAGGCCGAGAATAACTAATATGGTAAGGACTAGCACACTGTACATTGTAGTCTGCATGGACTTGGATATGTCTTGCAGTTTCTGTAAGTAAATGCTTTGAGTTTCACAAATATGAACAGTCAGGTACTAAGAGCAGAGCTTTTGACAAGAAGGAGCAAATGCTGCAAAGGAGAAATATGTTGGCTAAAGAACAGGATAAGATGAGCAAGTCATGGCTGGGCTTTCCTTAAAGAGAAACTTATTGTTTGGGATAGCTCCTGGCTGGTAGTTTCTGAGAAAATTTAAGCGTTTTACATTTAAAATATTTATGTTGGAAAAGTCCTGACTATTCCAAGTGGAAATAGGTGGTTCTGAGATGCGTTATGTGTTTGAGCACTTGTTAATTCCTGGTAATCTATTATGAATAATTGGTATTGGACTAAAAGTTGATATAGATTTGTTTAATATTTCTCTGCTTCTATATAAACAATGTTTGCTTGCCAAAAGCTGTCACTGCTGTTAACCAGCCCTACGTAAAGCCTTTAGCAGTGTCAATTTGCTGTGTCCCCTCTGTATTTATAGCATCAGTAGATCTCTGTTAGAAATTTTGTTTATTGGATCACTTCAGTAGTGGAAAATAAAACAATTTCTCATGAAGAGTTTAATAACCTCATGGAAGATCATTGTGTTTAAATACATTTCAATGTGCAGCTCTTCCTGTTATAGGGCTGGTCTGGGGGAGTTAGCACCTGCCTGTAATCCCAATA